AGTGAGGAAGAACCTGAAGCGTGTAGTCACGTGCAGTTGTAAGAGATAGCCCTTTCCTCGAATACAAGAGAAAAGCCAAGAGAAGCAAAACCGACACAAACTGAAGACAAAACTAGTGAGAATCCTAAGTATTAAAATGATTCAACTTAGCTTATGGCTATAATTTTTCTTGGTAATCCTATGCAATATATTATGCCATTTAGGCTTTGTTATGTAGTCAATATCACTTGCTTTATATTTGTGGAAAGACATCTATCTATATAATTATTGTGCATTATGTAGTCATTACGCCTATAGTAGAAAACTTTCCGTTTACAGAAAAACTAGAGCCAATTGACAAATTTCATTGTTATATTTGAACTCAGAATGTGAAATTCATTAAGAAATGGATCCTTTTGTTTCCAAAACTGGCAAAAAATAAAAATTTGTTGAACAGTGTAATTTTTGGATTTTGATTCTTGAAATTTCACACTGGAAAGGTTTATATATTATTTTTGGACTTTCAAGGGTGAAAGTGGGACTTTTAAATGCCATTACACAGGGTGTTTATTTTATTATATCACCGTGTATTATAGACTTAATTTTGGATACCGATTTATATTTCACAGATTAGTTTTAGTCATCTGAATTGTTTTAGTTTTAGTCCTATTTTAGTCATCTGAATTGTTTTAGTCCTATTTTAGTCATTATTATTATACAGGATTTATATATCGGCAACAGTTTGCGCAGCACTTTACAATATAAAGGGAGACAATACGATCACAATATTTTTCAGTACAGAAGGAATAGGAGGGCCCTGCTCGTGGAGCTTACGATCTAAAGGAAGGGGGAGGTGGTACAAAAGGTGATAGCTGCAGGGGATGATCTGATGGAGGTGGCTCGAGTACAGTTCTTAGGTAGAGGTGGTGTAGGCTTCCATGAATAAGTGAGTTTACAAAGATCGCCTAAAGGCAGACAGGGTGGGGTCTGACCGGATATACTGTGGTAGGGAGTTCCAGAGGATGAAACAGGCTCTGGAGAAGTCCTGGAGGCGAGCGTGGGAGGAGGTGACGAGGGAGCTAGAGAGGAAGATGTCTTGGGAGGAGCAGAGCGGGCAATTTGGACAATATCTGCGGATGAGGTTGGTGATGTAGTTAGGGGCAGTGTTGTGGATGGCTTTGTATGTTGTGGTTAGTATTTTAAATTTTATACATTGTCATCTGAATTGTTTTAGCCGTATTTTAGTCCAGTTTTCTCAACCTTTTTTCATTAACTCTTTCAAATTTTGGACAGCCTTGAGGCACCCTCTAAAAATTATGGACAGTCTCTAGGCACCCTCCAAAATTATGGACAGTCTCTAGGCACCCTCCAAAATTATGGACTGTCTCAAGGCACCCTCTAAAATTATGGACAGACTTGAGGCACCCTCTAAAATCATAAACAGTCTCGAGGCACCCCATTCTAAAATGTAAAAAACTATTCTAATGGTTTTACATAATGCGTCAACATCCACACACATAGGATACCCAAAATTAGAGGTGATTTATTCTTCCAAAGCAAATACACTTTTGCACCCTGGTACTGACTAGTATTCTAATGTTTCTATTCTCCGTAAGCTTTTCTCCATCACTGAGCTAATTTGACCCCAGCAGTGATGGAGAGGGGTGGGGGAGGGTCAAACTAGGATGTTTTGCAGACGACCAACATCCTCCTTAACTGATGATGTGATTGGTTGTTGGGATGCCGGCAGCTAGAAGGTCGTAATGGTGCACAATGAAAACCTGTGGCTATGTGTCACTAAAAAGCAGGCTTGTTCCACCTCTTGCTTGTACACAATTTTTGGGCAATTTTTAGGCATTTTGACAAGGCATCCCTGAAGAAACCTCAGGGCACCCCAGGGTGCCTGGGAACTCTGGTTGAAATAGGCTGTTTTAGTCGACTAAAATCTCCAGCACATTTTAGTTGACTAAAATCATTTTAGTCGACTATAATGTAATGGGTTTAGTTCAACTGTAATGCATTATTTGAGCATTTCTCTAGAATTTCCAAACTCCGTATATATTCCTGTAATAAAAATATAATTACATTATTATTTATAATAATATGGTTTTTGAACATGCACTACAGACACAGATATAGCTGTTGTGATATATAACGTATTTATAATAAAATAAATATAATAAAATAAAACAAAGTTTCATACACAGGTGGGTAAATGTCCTTCCCTCAGTGTGGATTGACAAAGTACAGTAGATGTTTAGGTTCAGGACAGGTTTAGATGTTGCTCAGGACAGGATTTTTGATATAGCTGCCAATTCTGTGATTAGAGAGGGAACCGTGCTGAAATTGTGTTTAAAACTGATGATGTGCAAATCAGAAGGTTCTCATAGAAGTCAGTGAGCCTGTAATTTGCATCTGAACCAGACCGCACTGCTCAGAAAATCGCACTGAATTGGGCACTGCATATACAGTATGTGTACAGGCACAGCAGAAGCCAATGTTATTTTATGTGTCATGAGAATTGGGTGTGGTTCAAAACGCATCCAGTTCGCATATATGTGAAGCGACCCTCATTTTTGTTCTGTTGTCATTAGTTGCCAAAAAATTGGAATTGATATTCGTCATAGCCTTCAGCAATTGATGGAAATTCTAATTGATTTTCGTCTAGTTTTTGTCACTTAAATCATGCCGCTGACGAAAATTATGACAAAAATATTTTCATTGGTGACATTAATACTGTTACTCACTTTCCCTTCATCATCACCCCCCTTCCTTCCCTCTATACATACATACACACGCACACAATACTCCATTTACTATGTCGGATTGAAGAGAAATACCTGGTACTTCCTGTAACTGTCCTTTCTCCTAGTTGACAGTTCTGGTGCTAGGTAATTGTTACCAGGCACCAGTTCTATAGGGTGAGGAGAGACATATATATATATATATATATATATATCCCTGTGATGCTATGGCTAGGATTGACTGAGGCTCCTTTTTTTCCTCTCATGTTGAGCGGAGAGGAGGGGGATTGTGGATAAATGTAAACTGTTGCACAGACCAGCCTTGAAGTGAACCTGTTGCTTTACCCATCATAGGGAAAGCACAATATGAAAACATATTAGGTTGGCATCACTCTGCAATGGAGCCAGACTGACTTCTAATGAGTATCTTGCTAAGGTGATCCTGATTCCTGCTGTGCAAGGGATTGGGGAAAGGTAATACAAAGACAGATTGCAAGCTGTTACACTGTGCTGTTTAAAAATTTTTTTTTTTTCATAACTAGAATAAAACTGTTAACATTTGCCTATAATTCCTGTATAAAGTGAGTTGTGTGGCAGAGCTACTATCTGTATCCGTTGTGTTTTCTCAGGCCTGATCCTGGACAAAGTAGTGAAAGAGACAGATCCTTCAGTAAGTCTGGAACTGGGTACATACTGCGGATATTCTGCCATACGAATAGCTCGCTTGTTGAAGCCTGGAGCTCGGATGTTCACCGTGGAGCTGAATCCAGTTCATGCCGCTGTGGCCAAGCAGATGATTGAATTTGCAGGAGTTCAGGATACGGTATACCTAACAGATGGCTTGCAGCAAATTTCAAAGTTCAACAAACCCAGTCAGCAAAGAACCATGATGACGTACATGTCATTCATTTCCCTAAGCAGAGTTTATCGAGATATGCAGCTCTGTGCTAATAACAATAAACCATTTTTATTATGTTAAAGTGTTACTAAACCCACAACAATAAAATCAGTCTGTATATGCAGTAAAGCATGCTTGTTATACACACTGTGGAATCTAAGGGTTTATCCTCTGCATTGTGTAAAAAGGATGTTTGATCCTGACTTCTCTGATACTTCCCTTCTTCCAGTGTCCCCCTCTTATCTCCTGATAAGATATATCATGTGGAGTCACTCTGCACATGCTTAGTTTGGTGTGTATTGCTAGAGACGTTTTTTTTTTCTTGGGAGAGTGCATGCAATCATCATAGGGCCAATCAGCACTATCCAGACAGAGGTCAGGGGTCCTGCATCCTCCTAGAGCAAAATGAAAACTCCTCCTTCAATCTTAAACATGTGTTCTGTTGGACACTGATAGAAGTCACAATACTGCTCTAATTGCTGATGAGAAAAGGTATTTAGCAGTTTATATGTATTAAAATAATTGCACTTCCATGTTCTGTGTACTGACCAGATATAGTGAATGCAGGGTCCTGGGTTTACTAACACTTTAACACAGATCTTTTCAAATCAATATACTGGGACTTTGAGATCTATCTATCTATCTATCTATCTATCTATCTATCTATCTATCTATCTATCTATCTATCTATCTATCCTATATTGCCAAAAGTATTGGGACACCTGCCTTTACACGCACATGAACTTTAATGGCATCCCAATCTTAGTCCATAGGGTTCAATATAGAGGTGGCCCATCCTTTGCAGCTATAAAAGCTTCTGGGAAGGCTGTCCACAAGGTTTAGGAGTGTGTCTATGGGAATGTTTGACCATTCTTCCAGAAGTGCATTTGTAAGGTATGGCACTGACAAGAAGGCTTGGGTAGCAGTCTCCATTCTAATTCATCCCAAAGATGTTCTATTGGGTTGAGGTCAGGACTCTGTGCAGGCCAGTCAAGTTCCTCCACCCCAAACTCATATGTCTTTATGGACCTTGCTTTGTGCACTATGTGCAGTCATGTTGGAGCAGGAAGAGGCCATCCCCAAACTCTTCCCACAAAGTTGGGAGCATGAAATTGTCCAAAATGTCTTGGTATGCTGACAACTTAAGAGTTCCCTTCACTGGAACTAAGGGGCCAAGCCCATCCCTGGAAATACAACTCCACACCATAATCCCCCCTCCACCAAACTTTACACTTGCCACAATGAAGTCAGGAGAGTACCGTTCACCTGGCAACCGCCAAAACCCAGACACGTCCATCAGATTGCCAGACAGAGAAGCGTGATTGGTCGCTCCAGAGAACATGTCTCCACTGCTCTAGAGTCCAGTGGCAGCATTCTTTACACCACTGCATCTGACGCTTTGCATTGCACTTGGTGATGTAAGGCTTGGATGCAGCTGCTCGGCCATGGAAACCCATTCCATGAAGCTCTCTACACACTGTTGTTCTGCTAAGCTGAAGGCCACATGAAATTTGGAGGTCTTTAGCTATTGACACTGCAGACAGTTGGGGACTTCTGCACACTGTGCGCTTCAGCACGCACTGACCCCACTCTGTCATTTTACCTGGCCTACCACTTCATGGCTGAGTTACTGTTGTTTCCAGTTGCTTCCACTTTGTTATAATACCACTAACAGCTGACTGTGGAATATTTAGTAGCAAGAATATTTCAAAGGATGGACATATTGCACAGGTGGCAACCTATCACGCTTGAATTTACTGAGCTCCAGAGAGCAATCCATTCTTTCACAAATGTTTGTAGAAGCAGTCTGCATGCCTAGGTACTTGATTTTATACACCTGTGGCCATGGAGATGATTGTGACACCTGAATCCAATATTTTAGAGGGGTGTCCCAAAACATTTGGCAATATAGTGTATATACACTTACCAGCCACTTTATTAAGGTTCATTTGCTTGGTAACACAAATAGCTAATCAGCCAATCATATGGCAGCAACTCAATGCATTTAGACATCTACATGTGGTGAATATGACTTTCTGAAGTTCAAATCGAGCATCAGAATGGGGAAGAAAGGGGATTTAAGTGACTTTGACCGTGGCATGGTTGTTGGTGCCAGACAGACTGGTCTAAGTATTTCAAAAACTGCTGATCTACTGGGATTTTCATTCACAACCATCTATCTCTAGGGTTTACAGAGAATGGTCAAAAAAGAGAAAATATCAAGTGAGTGGCAGTTGTGTGGACAAAAATGCATTGTTGGTGTCAGAGGTCAGAGTAGAATGAACATTCAAGTTTGCATCAGATACCAATTATTAAAGTATACCCTAATAAAGAGATATGTGAAAAGGGTTGCCATTGCTGTTGCTTGACTCTGGCTTTAGTACCCCTGATTCATGAACCAAAACAATCATGCAGAAAATCAGTGGGAGAAAAACCAGCATGCCTTACTTTGTGCAGGCCAATGCTTAGAAACTGCCCAAGTGTCAGCATGACAGACAGTATCTAGCATTTTCAAAAGGAATGTCACCAATGGCAGCTCATTTATTATTTTATGATAGGTTTCCTTTAAACTATGAGCCCAAAGAACAGCGCTGTGGAGATTGTGGATAAAATAAATATTCACCTCCCGTGGAGGTGTGCCTTTATTGGTCATATGGTTAAAATAGTTGTGTAACCCAACATGCGGTACAATAAAGTCCCAGGATTGTGAGACTTGACAAAGCGCATGCGCAGAAAAACGTGTTCGCATGGTCACCAGCCAAGCTTGCGTCTCACTCCCAGGGCTCTACTTCCACTTCAGTCTCGATTGCAGTGACGTCACTTCCGGAGAGCCGCGATCCCCGGCTGGTCCAGGAACACACTGAGGACAAGCGTCTCTTCCCGGTCCGGGGACACAAGTGAGCGGACATTCCACCTCACAGTCCTGGGAATTTATCTTACCGCACGTTGGGTTACACAACTATTTTACCATTTGACCAATAAAGGCACACCTCCATGGGAGGTGAATATTGATTCTATCCACAATCTCCATAGCGTTGTTCTTTTGGGCTTACATTCAATACTTTCATTAGCTTTATATTAGCAGCAGTGGACAAGTGGCCCCCACAATTGAACCCATGCACTCTGATTCGTTGTTCAAGTGTCCTTTAAATTATGTCTGTAGTGAATTGCATACTGCAAAATTAATGGTTTCCAACAAATGTATGTGAATTTATCATATGTGAAGCACTGCATAGAGGTTATTACAGGTATATAAATACCTGTAATAAATAATTAAATTTCTGTTTGTTTTACTAGTAAATGTGTTTATCTACTGTTTACAAAAGCAATAGTGAGAACCAAAAGAAGTGTGTGACACTAAATTGTATGTATCCACATAATAGAAAAAAGGCACAGCACATTTTCCAACCTTTGGTTTTGGGAGGAATACCTTTTTAGGCCTCATGCAAACTCAGCATTTAGCCCCAAAGTATTAGTCTCCAGCATTTAGGCTTGGGCGGAAAGAACAGATGTACCATCCATCCCCACTGGTGGCAGCCTATAAAACTCTATGAGAGAGTGACAGCTGCTGCAGCTGGTTGGAGCTGGATGATGCACTAGCAGTACAAATATTTAGGCAGTACTGCGCACGGAGGCCTTCATTACGCAGTGTGCGTCTTATTGTCTCGGGCTGAAACTTCTGTACCCACATCTGACAAAAATCTTTCTCAGTTCCAGCAGTCACACGGGGACTTCTCTCCACTCTAAACGCTTCAGGTAGCGCACAGCAGTCGAAGTCGCATCTTCTTTCTGCCACGACCAGGTAGCGTTTCCAACAGTGCCCTGGTCCAGGGAATTTGCGAATGATGCTTCCTAAGGTGTCTCTTGGTAAACATCTTTGCAATCTTCTTTAAGCCATTGCCCTTCCTGTGAAGAGAAATCACCTCTTCTCTTGTCTTCCTGGACCATTCTCTTGCCTTCACCATGTTTGTAACCACACAGTAAATGTCTAGAAGGAGCTGAGTATCACAGTCATTTTAAAGCTGCCTAATTGGTGCTTATTATGCTTGATTGCTGCTCGGTGACATCCACAGGTGTTTTTCAATACCTGATGGAAAGCACCTGTATGAACCTCTGTTCTTCAGAGTGGTTAGTCTTTAAGGGGTTGAATAATTGTGGCAATGAAGAAACCACATAAGAACCATTTACTACTGTATTACATAAACAATTGATGTCATTTTAGTTGCATTTGGGTAGTTACAAACGTCCTTGTAGGATTTGATTCTGAATACAATTCCAAATGTACACTATAGTCCCTAAACCCTTTACAGCATTGGGGGGTTGAATAATTTTTTGGCCACAAACTGTATCTCTAGGGTTTACAGAGAATGGTCAGAAAAAGAGAAAATATCAAGTGAGTGGCAGTTTTGTGTGGACAAAAAATGCCTTGTTTGGTGTCAGAGGTCAGAGTAGAATGAACATTCAAGTTTGCATCAGATACCAATTATTAAAGTATACCCTAATAAAGAGATATGTGAAAAGGGTTGCCATTGCTGTTGCTTGACTCTGGCTTTAGTACCCCTGATTCAATGAACCAAAACAATCATGTAGAAAATCAGTGGGAGAAAAACCAGCATGCCTTACTTTGTGCAGGCCAATGGCTTAGAAACTGCCCAAGTGTCAGCATGACAGACAGGTATCTAGCATTTTCAAAAGGAATGTCACCAATGGCAGCTCATTATTATTTTTATGATAGGTTTCCTTTAAACTATGAGCCCAAAAGAACAGCGCTGTGGAGATTGTGGATAAAATAAATCTTCACCTCCCGTGGAGGTGTGCCTTTATTGGTCATATGGTTAAAATAGTTGTGTAACCCAACATGCGGTACAATAAAGTCCCAGGATTGTGAGACTTGACAAAGCGCATGCGCACAAAACGTGTTCGCATGGTCACCAGCCAAGCTTGCGTCTCACTCCCAGGGCTCTACTTCCACTTCAGTCTCGATTGCAGTGACGTCACTTCCGGAGAGCCGCGATCCCCGGCTGGTCCAGGAAACACACTGAGGACAAGCGTCTCTTCCCGGTCCGGGGACACAAGGCGAGCGGACATTTCACCTCACAGTCCTGGGAATTTATCTTACCGCACGTTGGGTTACACAACTATTTTACCATTTGACCAATAAAGGCACACCTCCATGGGAGGTGAATATTGATTTTATCCACAATCTCCATAGCGTTGTTCTTTTGGGCTTACATTCAATACTTTCATTAGCTTTATATCAGCAGCAGTGGACAAGTGGTCCCCCACAATTGAACCCATGCACTCTGATTCGTTGTTCAAGTGTCCTTTAAATTATGTCTGTAGTGAATTGCATACTGCAAAATTAATGGTTTCCAACAAATGTATGTGAATTTATCATATGTGAAGCACTGCATAAAGGTTATTACAGGTATATATAAATACCTGTAATAAATAATTAAATTTCAGTTTGTTTTACTAGTTTTTGTGTTTAACTACTGTTTACAAAAGCATAGTGAGAACCAAAAAAAGTGTGTGCACTAGATTGTATGTATCCACATAATAGAAAAAAGGCACAGCACATTTTCCAACCTTTGGTTTTGGGAGGGAATACCTTTTAGGCCTCATGCAAACTCAGCATTTAGCCCCAAAGTATTAGTCTCCAGCATTTAGGCTTGGGCGGAAAGAACAGATGTACCATCCATCCCCACTGGTGGCAGCCTATAAAACTCTATGAGAGAGTGACAGCTGCTGCAGCTGGTTGGAGCTGGATGATGCACCTAGCAGTACAAATATTTAGGGCAGTATGCACCCAGGGATGAATGCTAGGAATGCCGACTGCTTGCATTCTGGGTATTCATCCCTAGGCATAAACTGCCTGAAGTTTTTAAGTAAATGCCCAGTGTATATGATGCCTAAATCAGAGCTTGTTGATGTATAGATATCATGTTGATGTATGGATAGCATGATTATCTGATCTTACATGGATTTGATTTTTAGGTTTTGGTGCTAGAAGGGTCCACTGCTGACATCATTCCTCAGTTAAGGCAAAAGTATAACGTGGATGCTTTGGATTTCGTGTTCTTGGACCACGCAAAGGACAGATACCGGGCAGACACCATACTGTTGGAGGTAAATATTAGAGTGAAGCTGCCCCTGTTTATTTTACTGCTGTGTTATACTATCAGTTATTGCTACCAAGTGACTGATAGAAGGTTACAATATTGCCTTTTGAGGTATAATGCTATAGGTCTGCCACTTTGATCATTAATTTGTTGGAAAACATCTAAAGGTAACTTTTCAATGACCTACAGCCAAGATACAGAGAATGTTTTAGCCCATATCCTTAGTGTAGTTATATGGCACTAATCAGAGCTAATCAAGGCCAAATGGGGCCCTAAACAAGGTAGTAAATATTACTCCCTACACCCCTTTCTCATGCTCCACCCCACCTCCAACTGCTTCAACCACCATTTCCAATCTTAGTTTTTGTATCATGAACACACTTAGATAATACACATTCTCATTTGTATGTTTGTACATGTGTGTGTATAGAGTCATTGTTCTGGCTATAGTGAGAATCACAATCACAGCACAGGCTTGATG